TTCAATTATCTTTACAAAATCCCGTGTAGAAATTGCAATGTGGCACTGTTAGGGACCGTAGAAGTTTACCCTTTTAATATTAGGGGCCAAATAGGGCAAATTGCTAGGGACCCCACAAGTTTCGTTACGCAAAATGTTATGGGGGCCGTAAGTGTAAAATATTAATGTGGTCCCAAACAAGTACCCCTATTAAAGCCCTACTAATTCTAATGACCGTCTACATACAGAAAACCTGATTTTAACTACTTTTTAACTATTTTTTATTTTTTTTATAAATCGTAAAACTCATTGCAGAATTTCAATTATTTTTAAAACAATTTTAATCGAATTTCTCGTAAAAAGTAATTATTCTCAAAAATTTTATTTAAATTCGTCAAAAGAATTCAATTATTTAAAAATTTGTTGGTAAAATTCATTATGAGTTGAATTTTAAGAAACATTAAAAAATATTCAATAAATTATTTTTTTGTAGGTACTTAAATAATTGAATTCTGGTAGAATTTTCTAATAAAAATTGATTTTCATTTCATAAAAATGAATTTCAGTTAAAACTTAAGATAATAATTGAATTTTAAAAGCAATATATTGTGAATTTTTAGAAATAATTGAATTTTCAAATTAATTTTTTTTAAAAAGTTTAATTGATTTTTTTTTATATTATTCGAAGTTTATATTTTTTAATATACAGTAGAACCTCGGTTATCCGAGCCTCGATTATCCGAGATTCCGGATTATCCGAGGCACAAAACATGCTCGGATAATGCGGAATAACTCGGATAAAACGGATCGAGCGACTAAATTTGGAAAATAAATTTTACAAAACCACTATTTGTGATCATTGCATTTAAAATTTCGTCCATTTTTGTCATTTAATATTATTCTAACACTTTAAACACATGAAAAATAATTTTAAATTTTGAAATTTTCATTGGTTCCGTGTTATCCGAGTTTTCGATTATCCGAGGTACCTCTTCCCCACATTCCCATGCAGAAATTGAGATTGGAATTTTATGGGGTCCTAGCCAGAATTCCCTATCTGTAGTGGGGAACTGATTAGAGAAAATCGTTAGAACCCAACTACTTTCATAACGGTCGGCAGATGGGGTATAGACTAGAATATCTAGTCGGGAACTAGTATTAAAACTAGCTGTGTGTTGATAGGGCCCCGACTAGAATTTTCTAGTTGACTTTTAAAAATTATTATTTTTCAACTTAACCTATTTATAATTAAATTCTTCATTCATATTAACATTATTAATGAATGTTGTACACGAAAAACCTGAAACTTGAGTTGAAAAATCTCGTGCCCATGGGGGATCGAACCTTGGACCTTGGGGACTCCAGTCGGATACACATACCTCCCGGCCGTGATAGCTTGGAAGCACCTCCGCTTAAATAACATCCCGTGCAGCAATTCACCATTTGCCCCTATCTCTAGTAGGGCTCTCGCTAGATTCTAACTAGAATCTCTAGTCTAGAAAAACTAGTCGGGTTCCAATCAAATTCTAGTTAAATAATTTTTACCAGCATTATTTTTTAAAAAATTTTGCATATTATTTAATTATTTCATTTTTTAACATATTTGAAACCCAATTTTTAATATTGTAGAACATTCTTACATAAAATTCCAATAAAACAATTTTATTAAATAAAAATCTTTTATTTAATAAGTAAATTAAAAGAATAAGACACAAATAAATATTAATTATGTGAGTATAATTAATTTTTATTACCTAAATATTGTAATATTATCCGTAAAAATAATTATTTAAAAATATATGTAAGTGCAATTATACTTTAAAATGTTTTTGACAATTCATAAAAATATTTATTTATAGAAAGACAATTTATGTATATTACTTGTACACTAGTTTGTCGCTAGTTGGAAATCAATAAGGTCCTAGTGAGTTTTTCTAGTCTGAATTATCTAATAATTTCAATTAATAATAATTCTTTATAATCTAATAATAATTTAAATTAAAAAATTATAAAGTTATTAAATTATTTAAATTATTAAAATAATAAATAATAATGTCAATTAATAATAATTCTTTATAATACAAAATTAGTAATAATAATTCTTTAACTAGAATTTGATTGGAAACCGATTAGTTTTTGTAGACTAGAGATTCTAGTCAGAATCTAGCGAGGTTCTAGACAGATTTTTCTAGAGTAGATTTTCTAGGATGGTTCTAATCAGAATCCAACATTTGGTAGGGACAAGTAGGGAAATTTCTACATGGGTTACCTCGGATAATCGAGGTTCTACTGTATATTTAATTGAAGAATTTACGAATAATTAAAATTCGTAAAATTAAATATTGTAAACAAATGGATTTGAAAATTGTCAGAGAACTTTTTCAAAAATTAATTTAATTAAAGAAGAATTTTAGTTAAAAATTCTTGAACATTAATAGTATTTTTTAGCATTTTCGGACTAAAAACAGGTAGTATTTTTTAAAAGAAAACAATGCTTCAAAAATTATAAAAATTAATTTTTTCATTTGACAATTTTTTTGTGGATTCAAAAACATATTTTCTATAAAATTACGCATGGATTTCAAAATCTACCAATTTTTAAGAAGAATAATATAATTCAAAAAGTGTCAAAATATTTTCCAACCCCTTTTGATTTTATGATCTTGTTAAATTTCCCTCGCTAATTACGGTGAATGTACCAATTACTGCGACTTTAAAAAAATATTATTTTTAACTATTTCGAAACGTTTGAAAAAATTATTTTTTATCTTAATTGTCTATATATAAAGATGTCATATTGCAATTGACACACAGCAATTGACTCCAGCACATATAGTGAAATATTTTTGAACCATTTTAATTTCGTTCGAATTTTGTTGCTTATTTAATTTTTGTAAAAGTTTCTAAATCGTTCGAATTACTAATACGAATTACTACTAATTACTACGAAAGTTCAATTTTTTTTAAAACAAAACTGGTTTTCTCCCATTCAAAGAAATTTCTGAAATTTCGCAGTAATTCGTGCACTTCGAAACGTGTCAACTTTTACTCCGAAAATAGTAAAAGTTATCGCTTGAAAAGCGCGAAAGTTCCAAACATTTAACCCAAAATACAATATACAGAATTCGTACATTATTTTCTTCGATTTTTAAACAAGATACAGGTCTCACAGACAAATAACATTATTTTTTTCTATTCAGACACAAACACTAGAAAGAAAATATTTCTCTCATAAATATTTCTCTGCAATAAAAATGACTCTTTCATAAAAAATGACGCTTTAAAATGTTATGTGTTTTGTCCAGGTCAAAATAGAAATGAATTAAAATAGATTTGCATTGGCCTGACTAACTAAGATGAATAATAATCAAGTCTTGTTTCTATGGAGGGAAACTAAGAATCTCATAATGAATCGACACGTATACATCGTTAACCTGAGACGGAATTAATGTCGTGACCCGTGCACATACGACTATTTGCTGCGTGTAATATGGATTGTATATGGTGCCACGATGGTGAGGAACTCACTTTACTTTATGCTGTCTTGGTGGGGTGCGGCACTGACGCCCTCGATTTCACTTTCATTATGAGGCCAACTACTCTCATTCACTCTCGTTTATAAATACATATATATACATATACATAAATATACGTGCGCCTTCTATTATGCATACATTCTCATTATCAAATCGTAAAAATAGAAAAATAATCTTCACAAAATTAGGGAAAAACAATATAATATCTGCACTTTAATTTCAGATCTTTATCATGAATTTTCATTAAACTTGGAAAAATACGTGCGTTCAAGTTTAATTGTGGAAAGTGTTTCTTTATTAAAAAAATACGTGTATTCTTAGTAATTACAAAAAAATATTTTTAATATTCCTTTAAATTCTTATCTTTTTTAATTAAAAAAAAAAGAAATTGAAAACGTTTCTAATTAATACCAAATGAACTAATTTTGTATTCTAAAGTTCGAGTATATACGTAAAGTCTCTGTTTCAAAAAATTTCTAGACATTGAATAATATGATAATTTTAAAAAAACTTTCCAGAAATTGAAATTAAAAATTGTTTTTAATAGTTTTCTTTCTAAATTTCAATTATTAAATAACATATTAATTGACATATCTTATTTAATATTTTATTTAAATTAATATCCCTAAAGGACCCACAGGAAATACATCAGTTTTAGGTCCCAGTCGATTTTCTTATAAATTTTAAGTAATTATTCAGTCTGAAGAAAACTTAAATTCAAAATTGACTGGGACCCGAAACTAACGTATTTTCTGCGGCTTTTTTTTGAATTAGTAAAAATGTTTACTAATTGGAATTAGTGACTGACTATTTGCTTTTGAATTAGTAAATTTTACTAATAAATAGTAATTTCTACTGAATTTTGACTAATTTATTTAAAAAAATTTTTTCAAACTTTAAAGCTTTAATTTACTATTAAAAACTTTAATAGTAATTTCTACTAATTTATTAGTAAAATGTACTAATTCAAATTTATTTAGTAATAATATTACTTTATAAATTATAAAATAATATAGTATTTTTTGATAAATTAATTAACTTAAATTAATAACTTCGTTTCGCGACAATTTTTTCGAAATAAATCTGCAAAAAATTCGATTTAGTCCGATAAAAAGAATTTAATTCCGAAATGAGAACGAAACAGTCCGAAACATCCGGTTTTTAGTTAAAAACAAATTCAGTCTGTTTTTCTCGCTTAAAAATATTCTACAGTATATGAAAACAAGAAAATTTATTATTAAACTATTTTATTTAAAATTACAATTTTTTAGTTATTATTTACAAAATTATTTTCAATTTACTTTCCTCTTAATGTACATACATGAAAAAAAATCTTTCAGAAAAAATGTTGTAGTAACTAAAATTGTATAAATAATTTTCTAATTTTTATAAAAATTAAAATTACTTAATTAAAGTACAATTGTTAATTAAATTAATTAGTGTGTGATTGTAATTAATTTCAATTACAGTAACTAAATTTTATAAGCTTAAACAAAAAGTAAACAATGTTAAAAACATATATTAATAAAATTAAAAAATCTTTTTAAATGCCGATGTACCTTATATTACAAAAATTAAAATTCAGAAAAAATATATTACTTCTCACACCTCAAAGAATCCTTAAATTCTTTCATTATAATTTTATATTTATCTGCAATACTGGGACCACAACCGGCTGTCATACCATCTCTTGTGCATGCCATAATATCCATCAATTGTCTGAAAATTAATTTTCAATAATTATAAAGTGAATATTTTTTAAAAAATTGTTAAATATTTAATTTTTTGATTAGGGGACAAAAGTTTCCAAAATTAAAAATTTTAATGTTGTACTTAATAAAAACTTTGGCAAATTTATTTTATTATTATATTAATTATTTATATTTTCAAAATTTGAATTACAATTTTGTAGGAAATTTAAATATACATAATAGATAGCGTACTTATTAAATTAAATAAAACATTAAAACAAATGAAAATAAATGTGTAATTTTATTTAAAATTGAGAAATAGGAAAAATTTATTTTTTCTTTTCTTTAAAACTTACTCGCATTCGCTTTTCGTATGAGTCATCGCTAAGGAGAAAAAGTAATCGTTTATTTTGATATTTTGATTGCTTATGCACTCCTGTACAGTTGCGAATATAATGCAGTCACTATATTTTACTTTAAAGTTACCTGTGAATTAATTAGTTTAGTGATAAAATTATAAAATATTTATTAAAATCTAAAAATAATTCTTAAGAAAATAGATAATTGTTATTATTATTATTATTATTATTATTATTATTATTATTATTATTATTATTATTATTATTATTATTATTATTATTATTATTATTATTATTATTATTATTATTATTATTATTATTTTTATTCTTATTATTCTTATTATGATTATTATTATTTTCTTTACTATTATAATTATTATTCAGATTATTTTTATACTTTACCAATTTTATAATAAGCACATATTTTCTTTTTAATTTCTGCAACAATATTATTAGTTTCCGATAAATGTTCATTTATCTCAAAACATTTCATTGTTTCATTAATTAATTGTCTAATTAAGTTTTCAATTTCTTGCCCAGAGCAATGTCTTGTTGTATTATTTAAGAGATTATTCCAAATTGGAAGCAATGATGTCTGCATGTTTTTGTAGGATTGATTATTTTTCGTGCAGGATTCATTTAATTCAATTAATGTCAATTCATTAAATGTATGATTTTTTAACATTGTACAGGAAACATAACCTGTGAATGATAAGATCGTTAAGAATTTTCCTTTTTACCAAAATTTGTATATATACATTTAATAATTAAAACTAATTTTTCCATTTCCGACTACCAAAAAATATAATTAAAACTGAAATTAAAAAATTTTTTTAATTTTAAAATTACTTTGTCAAATATTGTACTTACAGTTAGCAACTATAATAAATAGAACAAATTTGATGTGCAACATTATTCACTTGTTTCTTGAATATTCTCGATGAACGTGTATATATGTAACTTTAGTCGATACAAAAATGATACTAAATGAAAAAAATTCTGTTCGCATTTATATTCGCAGATAACCTATTTTTATGTTTCGGATTTTATTTTCTTTTTTAAACCAAGTCAATAAAAAAAAATATTTAAAGTTTTTTTTACTATTCGTCAATTTTTATCTCGTACTATTGTCTCACAATCTTTCACGACTTCTTAATAAAAAGAAAAAATAATCCTGCACGGGTAATTTGTATTTTTTATGATTCTGAGGGTTCCGAGGGAAAAGAGGTTCAGATATTAAAAAAAGCAAATTTATACCCAAGTACAATTTTTTTTATTTATATTTTAAAAGAAGGGTAAAATACAATTTTCCATAAATTCAAGTGGAATTTTTTTTAGATACATCTCAAAATGGACGAATACTTTTTAAGTAAATCCTCACGTTGATTTTTAAATTCAGGAGTGCATTTATTTAAATTGTCTCCCCCTGTCAGACAAAACATCATTTTTTCCAGATTGCTGTAAATAGAGAAAAATTAATTGTACTTTAAAAATACAATTGTCAAAAAATTAATTAAAAAAAAAGAAAAAAAAGAAATTGCTCTTTTTATTATAAGAATTTTTTTTAAAATTACAATTATAAATAAAAAAGTACCTGCAATCTGCTTTTGTATGAAGCATTGCTAGTGAATAGAAAACATCATCAGATTGAGGCTGATTCAGTTCTAAATTTTTCTGTAAACAATTATTAATTTTTTCTTTATCGAAGCAGTTGTTGTCTTTTTTAAAATTCACTGAAACAATTTAATTTCCGTTAATATTATTCGGACATTTTTTTATAATATATAATAAAATGTAATTAAAATATAAATAAAATAAAAAATATATAAAAAAATTTAAAAAAATTTTAAAAATATATAAAAAAAAATCATTACCAAGTTGGTAGTGAATACATAATTTTTTCGTAATGTCTTCATAAATTGTATTCAAATCAGATTCATTTGGCATATTTTCATCGTTGAAACAAGGAATTATTCTGGAAACTATTTCTTTAATTTGAGGAATTGAATCTGAACAATTATTAGTCGTGCTACTTAAAAGTGTATCGACAAGTTTGCGAGTTTCATTTTCATAAATGTCGTGATGCTGCTCACTACAAAGCTGCTCAAGTTGATCAAATGTTATATTATTAAATGAAGTTTTTTCTGCTGTTGCCGTAAAAGCATAGCCTGCAATTAAAAATAGCATATTTATTATTTTTTTTTACTAAACTTTTTATTAGTAAATTTTTAATTCCAAAATAAATTTAAAATTTTTAAATTTGAGCCCATATTTTTATATGAAATGATCTTTCCGTACAACTAAATTTATATGAAATTAAATGAAATGGAATCAAATAAAAATGGGTTTTTCTTGTTTCATATCTTAAAAAATGTGAAAAACCAAAAAAATACTCAAAAATTAAAAAAAAGATTAATTACAGTTTAAGTTTTGATTGGGGTACCAGTCTTACTTCGAAAACTTGTCTAAATTCTGCGATGAAAATTTACAGTGAAATCTTGCCCGAAAATTTAGCATTAAGCTAAAAAATATATTTATTTGAAATTTCACACACTTACCATTAACGATGACAGCAAACAAAACTACTTCCAAATACTTCATGTTTTAGCAAAAAAAATTTTCACACTCAATATTGACGAACTTATTGCACACGTATAACGTCAAATATAGAACAGAAACTATCAAAACTTTTTGCACTTTTTGCTTTCCTTTATAGTTATATTCACCGATAACACTGCATAATTTAGCAAATTCATTTCACTTTGTAAAAAATTTCGAACGAACATATTTTCAATTTTCCCAGCTGCAAGCTCTAAATTTTTTAATGCTCAAGATATCTAAACACTAAAAAATTCAAAACTGTGAACTATCGACAAACTTTGAATAATACAAAACTTTGTAAAAATTATTATAAATAAATTTAAATTTCCGCAAGAAAATAAAAAATTTATTAAACGATATTAAATGAAAATTTTAAGAAAAAATTCAGAAGCAATCAAGTGGAAAATAATTAGTACTATCGAGGCATGAAATAAAAGGAATGGAAGAAAAGTTATTACATAATGATGATTGAGAGTTCGTGCAGCAATAATAGAAAAATGCTTCTTCATTATGATGCAATAATTTACAAGTAGAATTACTACCAAAATAATATCTATTACTAGTGCAATATTAAATTGCAAAATATCTTTTTACTTTATTGTATCATCAAGATCCGCAAACTAAAAAAAGATTTCAGCAACGTTAATTAAAGTCCCAATTAACTTCTATAAACTAAAATCTCTACAAACTAATCATTATTTCTGTTACACAAAATCATCATTAAAAATATCAAAAGAAAAACACAAAATACAATCATATTCGACTAACAGAAACATATCTTATTAATAAAAACATTTTTCAAAAAAAATTTATTTTTAAATAAAATAAAATTATGAAAACGATCTAAAAATTGATTAGAATTTGAATTTCAAAGTACAACGAAATATTTGATGGGGTGATGAATCATTCGTGCGTATTCTCGCACGAATTCGCAAAAAAAAATACGAAGCAGATAAAAACGAAGCAATTTCAATTTTACTGGTGAAGGCAATATCCAAGTTGAGGAGTAAATATAGCCATTTATTACTTTCAAAAGACATAAGTGTCTTGAAAGAAACTAGAACATTGTGATTTGTCAGGAAAAAATTACATAATCCAAGATGAAAAGATATACCATAATTATAAATAAAGCATTGCTCTTAAAGTAAAACGCATTTTCGCTTATTCATTATAAACTAAATGCTGAAGTTATATTTTTCCATCATCTTAAAAAAATTTAATGAAATGTTGTATTTAAAAGATATTAAAAAAAGAAAACCAATTCCTTTTCTGCTATCATACTCTCTAAATCTGAATCAGTGAAAAATTTAATTCATTTTCACGAATTCAATCAAATTCAGTCAAATTTGAAAATAAGTTCATAATTAAATGTAATTTAAATTAATTTTCACAAAATAATACTATTTTGATTTTGATAAATAACATTTTATATTTTTAAGTACATCTGGATGTCTCTCTTTTTATAAAAATTGAAGATCTTAAAATACCTTCGTCACATTTTTTAAATAAAAAAAAAGTTCCAAATTTACTCCCACTTTTCTTAAAATCCTAACGTGCTAAGCAATTTTTGGACCCGGGATCGTGTTCAGCGAACACAAATACATAGAAAATGATTCCCATATCAAAAATAGAAAAAAAAAATTTTTCCGATATTTACCCCCACTTTTTTCAAAATCACACTTTTTTGGTCTTGTACATATGGGTTTTAAAGTGCATGCTTTAATGTAAGACAAGACCTTAGGAAAGTTATACTAATAGACATACTAAAGTATGTCAAATAAAGAAGAAAAGAATTTTGAAAATCCTAAAAATACATTTTTTGGGTCCTTACCGGCACTTTTCTCAAACTCCTAAAGTGCTAAGCAATTTTTGGACCCGGGATCGTGCTCAGCAAACAAAAATACATAAAAAATGATTCCCATATCAAAAATGGAAAAAAATAAAAAATTTTCGGTATTTACCCCCATTTTTTCAAAATTCCATTTTTGGGTTTTATGCATATGGGTTTTAAAGTGTACGCTTTAATTTAAGACTTCATGAAAGTCTATTCCCACAGGAATAGGCTAACAAAAATTGAAGTTATTTTCACAAAACCAAAAAGTGGATTTAACAAATACATAATTACTTACTAATAATTGTCCTCTCCCCCTTTTTATTATAATTTACCACGTTTTTAATTTGACTATAACGAATATAAAAAATATTTTTCAACTTTGACATTTACTGTGAATAAAGTACATTAAACTATTACTATAATGCGTCATCTTCACATTTAATGTTTCCATTTGGCAAATTTCCAGAATTTTTTATAATTAAAAAAGTTAAAATCGCAAATAATGTGTCGCGAAATTTGGTTTTAATTAAATACCATTAATTTTCCCCACTGTAAAAAAATTTTTTTTTCTTTTTACAAAATAGGAAGTATTTTTTATTTATGTTTGGAATTAATTGTGACCTTGGCCTTCGTTGTTAAGAATTTAACTGTCGCCTGAAGGGAATTGTATATGTATATATACATATATAAATGTTGCAAACTTGAGCCAACCCATTTCTATATGCCAGGTTCGCCTGTAATGTGGAGCAGCAAAAGTGACAGTCATAGGCGATACTTTATAGCATCGCACAGTGTACGTATATAAATGTTTGGGTTCCATTCTTGGCTTAAACTTTATTCACTATTCATATCTTAGATAAATTACTTTCATCTTATGATGAGTCTCTTTAAAGTTCAAAATGCAAGGTAGCAAATATAAATTTTATCCTTTACTTTTATTTTTAAATTAAATTTTCTTGATATATAAAGTATTTATCAGAATCCAATTTCAATATTTGGTATTTTAGGTGCAAAAAAGTAATCAATTTTTGATATGGGAATCGAGCACTTTAAAACCCATATGCGCAAGACCTAAAAAAGTGGAATTTTGAAAAAAGTAGGGGGGGAATACCAGACAAATTTTTTTTTTCTTCTATTTTTGATATGGGAATCATTTTCTATGTATTTTTGTTCGCTGAACACGATCCCGGGTCCAAAAATTACGAAGCACTTTAGGATTTTGAGAAAAGTGGAGGTAAAGACCCAAAAAATATATTTTTAGGATTTTTAAAGTTCTTTTTTCCTTAATTTAACATATAAACAATAATGAGGTCTTAAATTAAAGCGTGCACTTTAAAACCCATATGCGCAAGACTTAAAAATGTGGAATTTTGAAAAAAGTGGGGGTAAATACCGGAAAAAATTTGTTTTTTCTATTTTCGATATGGGAATCATTTTCTATGTATTTTTCTTCCCTGAACACGATCCCGGGTCCAAAAATTGCGAAGCACGTTAGGATTTTGAGAAAAGTGTGGGTATAGACCCTGTAAAACTGTTTAGGCCCAAATTTTTTGCCAAAATATCAAATTTTGCAGAACTTTGTAAAATAAATGTGTTGGTTTAGTAACTTTAAGATTTACAAAGAGAGAGGAAGAGAGTAGTAAAAAATATTGATAAAATAGTTAATTTTGCGTATTTCAAGAGGTTTTGTATATGAATGCGTAATATGTTTTTCTTATAATAGATGTTTTTCAGTTGAACAATTTATGTTACTATTACAGCAGCGGTATTTTATATATATATATATGGGAGTTGCAATTACACCCTTATAGACGATTGTACGTCCTTGCACGTACACTATATCTAATCTGATCGGTACTCGTGGCACGATCGAGAGTGCAATTTTTGACGTTTTTAGCTCTTCTCGTGTATATACAAGAAGTAAGCGGCAGGGCAAGATACACAAGTAAGGCACAGACAAGAGCTATGTACACTTGCGAGAATAGGATAGCTAACATAAGAGTCGAAGCACAAACCGCACTCTCGACCCAGTTGCTCGGCCAAGCCTAGAACAGCTCGACTACTCACTTTCGATTAAGTAATCCCTCGTTCCCCGCCGATAATACCTCCTTTAATACTTATGAATTAAACCGGTAAGAGAGTTTAAACAGTCGAGGCAGCCGTTAGGCAATTCTCGCGCGACGTGCTCCACCGACTTTCCGCGAGGATTTCCTGCGCTCAGGAATAACGCTCTCTTTTGGAAATTGTTCTAGTTAATTCATAGGCCAAAAAACCAAATGAATGTTTACTCTCAAAAAGGCAACAGAAAAGAAAATAAGAACACTAAGGGGAGGGTACATTGATGTTTTTAATTATATCAAGAAAATAATTCAAATATTTGATAAAATTGTTTTTAGAGTAATTTTTTTGAAATGAATCGAATGGTCATAAAATATAATCTGTCAGAAAACATTTTTAACTAAAATTCTTCTTTAAATCAATTAATTTTCGAAAAAGTTCTCTGACAATATTCAAATCCATTTGTTTACAATCTTCAATTTTACGAATTAACTGAAATTAATTTTTAAATCAATTTTTATTAGAAAATTCTACTGAAATAAATGTTAGTCAACAACTATTAATTGTTGGCAGAAAATAACTAATTTTCCCCTTAAGTCCACTATGTCAACTAGTATAGCGTTTAATAAATTAATTCGTAGCCTTAACAAACGATTTTATAGTTTTCTACATATCAATTAGTAATTTTTTACTAAAAATTACTAAAAACATTTACGATTTAGTAGTTTTCTACTATCAATTAGTAATTTTGACTAAAAATTACTAAAAACATTTACAAATCCCCTTAATGATCGAATTAATCCCATTCCATAACTCAAAAATGAAAAAATCTGATTTACCCAACTCGGATTCATTTAAAATTCCGATTTAGAAGATCTTCAAGATTTGTAATTCATATGCGAAAGATCTGCAATTCTTATTGAGAAGAAACATACCCAAAACTACTTGAAAATAGTAACCTAAATTTTAGTCCAAAAAAATAAAAAAATATACTATTTGTCTTAAAAGACTTTATGGAATAGAGATTGTACAGATTATAGAATAGAATCTCTAAATATTGTTGTATTTAAGAGATAGAAGTCTAGATATAAAAGTAGGACCCATTCTAGCATTAGCTTGGGGATGTAAAAATTTCCACCTACGTACGGATCTAAACTATAACGAATATAGGCCAAGGACATAAGAAACTGGTACCGGTGGGCAGATATCCCACGGCGAATAAAATAGTGTTACGAGTCTGTTAAAGACATTTGTGTGTCGCTTTGAGAC